CCTGGCCGTTTCTGTTCTTATAAAAAAAAACTTACGGGGAGGGGGGAGAAAAGAAAGGGAAACAACCCCACAGCGCAGTGCGACCGGAGGCTGTCTTGAACGGAATCAGGTTTTTCCATTAGGTGCTGTCTGACGTACCCCCGGGCTCTCGCCTTCTTTACTTCTCTCACTGGGAAATGCAATAATGTTATTGGCCCTGTCTATGCCTCTGTGGGTCCGGACGTCTTTGTCCTCTGTGGCTGCCGAGAGGCGGACTGTAAACTTAGCCACTTTTTCCCCTCCCCCATAATTCTGAAATCAAAGAAACTGACTGCCGTGCTGCAAAATTATTATTTCTTAAAATCTGGTACTAACCTGCGTCGCATTTTTTATCTTTTAGTTAGTACACTGTGCATGTTATTTAGTTTATCGGGCGGGTGTACATCGAAAACAAGACAGCGTCGTGGGTGGTTGGCGAGTGCTCTGGCGTGGTTGGCCCCTTTTTTCCTATCAAACATCTATTGCCCTTAACTCTCCGCCTTCTTTTCTTTATGATGTTTCTCTCAAGTAACACTTTTTATCTTTGGCACATATTATGTAACTTATTTGTGTTGTAAGTGTTGTAAAACTAACTAAGTGTGTGGTTGGCGGGTGCTCTAGTGTGGTTTGCTTCTTCTTTCCTATCAAACACATATCGTCCTTATCTCCCCTTTTTCTTTTTCTATGTTTATTACTCTCTTGTGACACCTCTAATCTTCTGGCGCTCATATGACCTTATAATAATAATAATGAAGATCATTTCTATAGCGCCCACTCCCGTGTAAACACAGCTCTAGGCGCTTTACATAAATGCATGTAAGAAAAATATTCATGCACGCGACACACACACACACTCACACACACACACACTCATATACATACAAACACACACATATACACATACACACACACACAAACACACGCATACACACTCACGAACACATAACACGCACACATGTGCACACACATGTATGCCAAACACACACACACACACACACACACACACACACACACACACACACACACACAAACACACACGCACACACACGCACACACACGTACACACACACACGCACACGATTACACATCATCACGAAATGAGAATAAAATAATATATACACTGCAATTCACAAAATACATAAATGGGTACATTGACATTTATATAACATTGTATTGAACATGAATCTACTGACTTAAAAATGATGTCATTGAATGTGTCTTTAAAGATTTTTTAAATTTAGACTCAGATGTTGTATGTCTCAAGGGTTGGGGAAGAGAGTTCTAAACTGACGGAGCAAGGTGGGCGAACGGGCGAACGATCTTTCGGCTAATTTTTTACCGCCTTTTCTAGGAACTCGTAAAAGATACTGGTCGCCTGATCTTAGTGATTTAGATGGAACATAAATCTGGATGAGATCACTAAGATATGAGAGAGCTTTGTTATTGACACATTTATGACATAATATTGCAATTTTATATGACATTCCAGCTGACACAGGAAGCCAATGCAACGTTCTTAACATGGGAGTAATGTGGTCCCTCTTCTTTTTCTTTAGTACAAGCCTAGCAGCATGATTTTGAAAACGTTACAGAGCGCCGCAAAACCTCTACATTTGTACTAAAACTTTTTTTTATCTTACTGAACTCAAGTAAAACAGCCTCGGCACTTGTGTTGTCTTCGTCTCAGTGTCGTCAGGGACATTGTGGTTGTGAGGCTTTTCCTTGTGTAGAGCGCAGGCAGTTACTGAGTCCGTGTATGCCTATGCTTTTTTTTTACTCAAACAAGCAAAACACTTTGACAAAATTTTTTTTTTTTTAAAATAAATAAATAAGTAAACAGAAACGGGCTGGTGGTTGGAGGGCGCCACTAATAGGTCTTACTTCTTGACTCTCTCTCTCTCTCTCTCTCTCTCTCTCTCTCTCTCTCTCTCTCTCTCTGTTGTCTGTCTTTCTGTCTGCCTTTCTGTCTACCCGTCCGTTCGTCCGTCCGTCCGTCTGTCTGTCCG